GGGGGGGGTAATCTGGTCAGAAGTGGTCGAAAGTGGACAGAAGAGACGGATTAAAGCACCAGGTGTAAATGGGTATGTGTCTTCATTGTCCACTTGTGATCTGATCGACCAAAACGCATCTTAATAATACCAAGTGTAAACAGGGCCAAAAGGTCAACTGCACTAAAAACACTTCTGGTGGCCCAAAAATCACATGTCTGTTTTAGGAAAAACAACAACTAATTTATGCCAAAGTTCAAACATCCAATCAAATTCTACATTACATTGTTGTATTAACCTGCAAAACTTTTTGAATGAAGTCCTGCTGCAAAGGCTGCATTTTCTATTTCTGTTTTCTATATTAGTACTTTTTAAAATGCACTATATTCCAGTGATGGCACAGCTGAATTTTCAGCATCATTATTCCAGTCTTCAGTGTCACATGATCCTTCAGAAATCATTCTAATATGCTTATTTGCTGCTCAAGAAACATTTCTTATCATAAAACTGTTAAAAATAGTTGTGCTACTTAATATTTTTGTGGAAACTGTGATACATTTTTTAAGCATTCTTTGATGAATAGAAACAAAAAGAAAGCATTTTTAAAAATAGAAAGCTTTGGTAGCAATGTGAGTCTTTACTGCCACTTTTGATCAATTTAATGTGTTCTTACTGCATAAAATTATTATTTTACAAAACAAAAAACATCTTCCTGACCCCAAACTTTTTAACAGTAGTGTACAAAATGTACACTCTCAGAAAAAAACATATTAGTAGGCTACATATTAAGGTACATATTAGTACATTAACACCGTGTCTACACCGGACGCAACAGTTGTCGTGTCGCAAGTCTGTCTACACCGGACGTGACAAAGCGACCGTTGAAAATCATTTTAAATTTGTGTCAATACGTCATAAATAGAATGTGGCAGCAGTTTACTGTCGGGGATTTGTCGTGTCGTGCCGCGCTGCATCCAGTGTAGACAGCATTACTGATTATAATGAGTTTTGTCGCACCGCTCGCGTCCGGTGTAGACACGGTGTAAGTGTACATATTATCTAAAAGGTAAAAAAGGGTACCTTTTGAAAAGGTACTGCCCCAGTGACAGCTTTTGTACCTTTATTTCTGAGAGTGTATAAAAAAGGCTATATTAAAAAGCCAACTTCACTTTCAATGAGGATAAATATGGTTTGTGCCAACCACATTGCGTTTTGTTCAGAGACCATTAAATCGGCTACTGAAAATAACTGAAAGCAACATTTAGAAACCAAAATTATCAATGTTTTCCAATTAGTCTATGCCATATTAACAATTTTGCATATTGTTGGGCCTACGCAGTTCATTGCAGTATTGATAAATTTCAATATTTGATTTTTAGGACATTTTTTATGATTTTGTACAATTTTGGTACTGTGTTGGGACGACTAATCTGTGCAAAACAAGTTTAAAACCACTGATCTAGAGCACCCAGTCATACTTCCAAAGATATTCAATTGCAGAATTCAACTTCACCAGGTTCACAGAGACACACACATCTGGCTAAGACATAGACTGACTCTAATAATTACTCTGCCTCTCATATCTCCTTCAGCCTCTCTGTATCTGACTGTGAGAGAGAGACGGGCTATAGCAGGTCAGATGCTGTCTTTGCTCAGGTATATGGTCATGACTGTCATACTGATAGCTGTTGACCTCATGGTGTTCTGGGTGTTTGAGCTGGTACACCACCAGGCCCAGGGTGAAATCGTCACCCAAGGTAAACAAGATGAAATCACAGCATGGTTTCAATGGTTTTTCTTTGTTGCATTCCACAATTTCCCTAATATGCCACTGCAAAGTTAACTTATTATATTGGCACTTTCATTCTTAGTAATATTGACATGTTTATTCTTATTTTCAGATTACAATACATATTTAAATATTTTTACATTAAAATAAAATAGTAATATGTCAATGATTTGCTTACTCTCTATATATTTGTTATCTGTCTAGTATGTTCTACCATATATTTTTTTAATTTTACCATTTTTATTAATTTTGTCACCTCCAGCTCCTGTAGTGGTTGCAGTGAATGTGAATGGATCTGGTTATGCCTCGGATATCTTTAGGGACATCGCAGCCTCATTTGACGTCCTGCAGAAAGGAAACATGACTGTGCTTAGCAAGAAATGTCTCATGAAGCCTTTGGAGCCAGACTACATGAGATACCTGCTCATTGGTACAACTACAATACCAGTACAGTTAGACATTTGTACAAAAAAATGAAAAACATTCAACTGTCAGTCTAATGACTCCTAGTGGTCACGACTGGAACAACAGATGGAACGTACTACAATCAAACCACAGCCACAACCACAAATACTAACACAAATGACCTAATGATATCTTCCTCAATTCGAAGTGTATTTAAGATAATTATACTGAAACTTTAACTATAATGCAACTTCTGTTATTGTACAACTGCGCTAGTCATCACAACTCAGTGATAGCAAAAAAATAATAGATATATGCAAAAATGTAACTTTTATTTGGTTATATGTCTGACCTTTGTCTTCCCTCCAATCAAAGGTCTTCTTTATGGCTTCGCTCTGTTTATTGTGATTGCTGGTGGCTACGTCAAACATTTACAGAGGTTTGTGTGTGCCAGGTACCATCCTATTTTATCAATTATTTACTATGCTGGTCACCTTGAGACTTTTTTGATTTTTGACAAAATTTGATTTATAAAGACAATTATGTCTCATGGAGGAGAAACACTTATGTGTACAGGTCTGGTTGTAAAAAGACAATGACTGAACTAGTTTATTTTCAGTTTGCTTTAATTATGAATTTATTATCAATATTAATTCAATTCTTAAAGTAACAGAAACTTAGTGTATACTAACTGTGTGCATGTTGCAGAAGAGAATCCAGTACCTCCACAGGCATATTCTCACTCAGCGCGGGTCTTTAGGAAAAGCCCTACTGAGGGCTGTACAACGAAACAGTATAGACCAGCAACATGATGGCATTATACCAACATTGGCCAAACAGTGAGTATAAACCACTATAAAAATCACTGTAACACACTGACTTGGTAAATTCTAATATGCAGATTTGCTGCTCAAGGAAAATATCTTATTATTATCAATGTTGAAAACAGTTAAGCGGCTTCTTATTTTTGTGGAAACTGATACACTTTTTTTCTGGATTTTTTCTTATTAGAATGATCAAAAGAACAGCATTTATTTATTTAAAAAAAAAAAAAAAAAAAAAAATATATATATATTTTTTTAACAATGTAAAAAAATCACGTTTGATCAGTTTAATGGTGAGTAAAAGTATTTATTTCTTTACAAAAATTATATATGTCAGAATATTACAATGATTTATGAAGGATCATTGGGCATTTAAAATTCACAGGAATAAATATATATATATTTTTATATATTCGAAAAAGAGCTATATTAAATTGTAATAATATCTCACAATATTACTTTTTACTGTTTTTTTATTAAATAAATACAGCCTTGGTGAACATTAGAGACTTCTTTCAAAAAGACAAAAATATTACTCACCCCAAACCTTTCAACAAAAATTGTCTATTAGGTATCTAAAGGTAACATTTTAAGCACTACCTCAGTTAATATTTCAATTTCTCCTCCAGAAATATGGTTTTAACTCAAATTAAATGAAACATTACAGTGAAAAAGTAAATAAATACGCACACTCCTCATCTTTTTGCAGCCTACCAGGGGGTGCCATCATAGCCAGGCTCCTGGATATCGGTAAAGAATCGTGCATGGCCTGTGGGAAAGTGTTGAAGACGAGAGGTCATGATGACGAAGTGCATATCTGCCCTACCCCTCGCTGCACAGGCTGGTTTTCTTGCTCTAAAGAATTGATTTTAGATCATCTTTAACTGGCAAAAAGAAATAGACTATTAGACCAACCTGTTGGACAAAAATTTTTCTTTTCACAGGCCATTACTGCTCGCTGTGTTTCAGACTGATGGGGAAGCTCTGTGCTTTCTGTACGGCACCCCTCACATTCCACGAGGACCAAGAGCTGTATGTCACTTGACAGAACAATGACAGACACTTTAAACAATATTTTTGGAATGAATATAACTTAAGTTAATCTGATAATACCAATAAAGACATTGTCACTGTAAGCACACTTTTTTTTCACAAGGACGAAACAGTCTTGTTTGTAGAATCGGCAGGTAAAAGGTGTTGAGGCCATATTATATATTATATAATTATTTACTAAAGAAACAGAATTATGATCATGCAAGAACATATTTTGTATACACTATATAAACAAATTGTTCAGTTAGATCATTATTCAGATTAGCTTTTATTTTGCCATTTTGAAAATGAACAGTAAAGTTCTACACATTAATGCTTACATTTGTGAGTTTCAGAGATTCCAGTGATGAGGAGCAAGCCAGTTTATGGGAGACCGCTGTAACATCACCCCAGCCTGGCCAGAGCACAGGAGAGAAAAGAGGAAAAGAGAGGAAAGGAATAACGATCAGGTGTCCAGAGTAACTGAGCAGCTTTGTCAAATATTTTTGAGTTAAACAGATGCATAGGCCATCTCTCAAATTAGCAGTCTTAACCTTTTGTCTTTTTTTTATGTCTGTTTCAGTATTTCCAATCAGGATCATTCTATATGGATCAATGGCCAAACCGGCCATCAAAATGTCGAGGTTAATAACAGAGTTTAAGGTCAAAGCTGCTTTATGCTTTCGCAGAATCTGTGGTGTTGAATATAAATCTGTTATGTACCAAGAAGGCCTATGTGTTTTATTTATGTATTTATTTAGTTTTCTCACCTTGCCCAAACTGCAAAATAGGCATACATGATGAAACTACAAATATTTTACAAATGTTACCTCATGTAATCTAATCACATCTGTCAGAATGCGGTTGGTCTGGTTACATTGCATTTACATGGTTGTCGGAGGAATGTCGAGTATGAGCTGCAGTTTCTTAACTGTAAAACAAATACTCAAACTATTTTCATATTTTTTTACTATTTCCACTAAGACGTACCAGTTAATCTCTGCGTGTATTGCAAATTAACACATATTCCGTACACGACATATTCCCATATAAACTCTCAATGCTATAAAAGCGTGAACATTACCCGTGCGTGAGTGAAGAGTGGGCGGGTCGGAGGCGCGAGGCAGCGCTGGTCAGGTGACGAAATACTGTCACTTCACTTCACCTGCTGTAGTTTCCGCACGGGACATAAAACAAGCCCAATGGCTGAACAGGTAAGCTTTTCTTTTTGTTGTATTTAAATAGTTTATGTTTTAGATTAGTTTATTTACATGATCCACCTGTAGCTAGGCCTAAATTTCACCTACATTTTATTTTTCGTCATCATTTCCCTTCGATATTGCAAATGCAGAAAATGAATTAAAACGTGCTTTTTATAAGTCTAAATGAATTTACTTTAATAAAATATAACTTATTTGTAAACTTAATTTAATTCATAATTTGGTCAATATATGTGGACAAATAGAGGTAGTAGTAACAGGTCTCTGCAGCTCCTGTTCAACAGCAAACAAACGGATTACAACTGATAAACTGAGGATTTCATGAGGAATGCAACAAAGCCTTGCCATTATGTGTTGATATATTACATCAAAACTATTACAGTAAAAAAAATACAAACCCACTATAAGCTTAATTGCTGCCTGGAAGTGGTGCCAAATTACAACCTGTAAGTTATCTGAAATTCACAACTGATGAAGGAAACTCTGAAACCTGAAATCGAGTTGAAAAGACAGAACACATTGTGGCAAGTTAAATGAATGGACAAAGATAGTAAGGCTGATAAAAACAATTTCTGCAGTCTACTGAATATAAGTCTCTGGAATATAGGATTACAGTGGGTTTACTGACCTTGTATATGTTAATACTAAACCACCTTTTTTTCCCCCAAATGGTTTGATGCGCTTATATAGGCCTGAACGGTGGTTCCTTTCTATGAGAGACGTTTCTTTTTTGCTGTGCTTGAGTCTGAAACTATTCCCACTCTGTAGTACACAGATCTAGAGTTGGCCTTAAACACCTTGGTTAAAAACTTCCATTCAGCATCGCCTACTGACGCTGACACGCTCACAGCCCAGGAGTTCCAGAGCATCATCTCCAAAGAGCTGCCCACCATGGTGAAGGTAAGTCAGGACCTACAATCCAATCTTAAGTACATTTCAGTCTCTCAAAACCTATAATATCAACCTAAAAGCTATATTGCCATAATCAACAATGGTTTACTTCCTAGCTAACAGAGAACATTCTCAGAAATTTGGCAAAACATTTCTTAGAACATATTTTTGTTAGCTGGGTTGATGCCATTTTGTCTAGGACAAACCAAAATAACAATGAAAATAAATATGAGATAAGAAGCGCAAATAGATTTTCTGGAATAAACACAATTATCATAATAATTTTTGTTTCCCACACCCTTTATTCTCTTCCAGACAGCAGGGGACCAGGAAGGACTTTACAAACTCCTGGCGGACCTGAACGTGGAGGAGGGGAAGGGCGTCACATTCAAGGATTTTTGGCGATTGGTTGATTCTCTGGCCACTGCTCAGTTTGGATTGCAGAGCAAAGAGAAACAAGTGAAATGTGTGAAATGTAGTCTGATGTAAGACCGGCCCTGAGCAAACCAGTCCGATCAACATTACGTGGATGTCCACCACAGCCCTGAGAAAACACGTCCAATCAGCAGCTTCTATTACCCATCACTCTCTGCAATACTGTACATGTCACTCTGTTGGTCATTTCGGTAGGTCTTATCATAATTAAGTGTTGTTACAGAGCTTCCTGAATGAATACCCAACAAGCCCTTACGACACAGACTTCATGACATGAGTAATCTCTACCATGCAGATAACATAAGATCTACTGGCTAATTTACTTCCTCATTTGTTCTGGTGCTGCAGGTTTTTTGTATTATTGTGTCACTTTCAACCTGCCCAATCATTCTTTTTTTTCACTTTTGTTTTTAATATAAAAAATAGGAAATTATTTGTTATGTGTTTTATGTGACAAATGTGATCATATTTTATATAACTGTGGGCCACATGTCTGTTTGTTCAGACTGACATGCATTGCAAAAGAGATAATCTTAGTAATATATTGTAGAGGGAAGTAGAGATGTGACACCACATATTCTGTACTGTATTTGACTTTATGGTAACATAATGTGATTATCTTTGTTGATAATATTAAATATATTCTAAAGGTTTCTGAGTCTAAATAATCTATAAAGTCTATAGGCGTAATGATTACACTCTTAAAATTGATCTACTTTATTGATCTACTTACTAATCCTGATGTTAAAGTGTCCCAAAGACCATTTTAATTTCTATAAAATATATCAAAAAGCTATCAAGGTGAAACTTCATGATTATCTAAATGGAACCATAACTAACTAAAAAAAGTCTTGATAACAAAACATTCTACATCACTTATGTTTGGGTTCTCAAAGACCCTAGATATAAAACATAAAATTAATGCTGGAAGAGAGGATCTAAATGTATTTTTAATACCGTTCTAAGTTGTGATGCAAAGAATACTGGTAGTCCAAGCCTCTACTCGATTCAGTTGAGAAACTGTTTATGAACACTATTTATTCATATCACACATTTAAGCTAAACATTCATAACTTATGGTGTACACTATACAGACCCCAGGCTCACGGCGTCCAGAACACCAATATTCAGTCTGGACATCTGAGATTTTGGTATGGAGATAAAATTTTTTGATTTCTTTTATTGTATTGTTTTTGTGCATGTGTTTTTGCTGGGGTCAAATTTACCTCAAACAGAAATAATGTTTTCAGAACTAAAGATGTATGAAATGAAAAGAGGTTCATTATTTTTACATGTACATCATAACACGAGGGTTTAACTTAAAGTTCAAACATAAAAAAAACCCATAGTTGCTGACATGGAGATAACAGAACAACGTGCCCTCTGTGACTTCACACATCTGTGATGCCTCAACGTTAGAGCGAGGAGCTCTAACCACAAAAGCACAACATCACATTGCTGGAAGATGCTGGTGCAACTAATGACGGTTTGTGGTTAATCACCTTTATGCTAAGCGTACAGATAATTTATAGCTTCTTAAAATTGGTACACCTCATTTCTCTCCTGTCTTTTGCTCCTCATTCATTTCTAAGATCCATTTATGTTCACTATTTAACAACTGATTTTAAAAAAAGTCATCTCTATTTGGCACATTTTTGTGTTCTGCTTTGTACTCTGGGCTGTTGTTACATGTTGTTACTCTGCAGCTCTGAGCATATGAGAACTTTTCTGGTCAAACTTGTTGAAAAAGACAATGGTACATTAATTCCTTGAAATAAATACAATATGAAACCATTTCTACTTTCACTTCCTCCATTTTCTCTTGTTTATATGTATATATCAGTCAGTGTGACCCAGATTTGACTGCAAAGAAAACAGAGGTACATGATGTCTCATTAAGCTGCATATCTGCATACCAGTTCTAAGTGTCTTAAATGTTCATTTAATGGCTAAATGAAAAATAAACATATATATTTGTAGAAGCAATAACTTGAAATGATCATTTTCTGTATGACTTTATCAGTCTTTCACATCGTTCTTAAGGAATTTTGGCCCACTCTTCTTTACAGTGTTGCTCAAGTTTATTGAGGTTTGTGCACAACTCTCACCACAGCATTTCAGTCAGGATGAGGTCTGAACTTTGACAGGGTTTGCAACACCTGGTTTCTTTCTTTTTCAGCTGTTCTGTTGTAGATTTACTGGTGTGCTTGGGATCATTGTCTTGTTGCAGGACCCAATCTTGGCCAAGCTTTAGCTGTTGGATGGTTGGCCTCACATCTGACTCTAGAATACTTTGGTATCCAGAGGAGTTCATGGTCGATCCAATGACTGAGATCCTGTGGCTTAAAAAATAAGTCCAAAATCATCAGCACTCCCCCAGCATGGGTGACGTTTGGTATGAGGTGTTTGTGCTGATATGCTCTTTAGGTTTTCACCAAATGTGGCGCTGTGCATTATGGCCAAACATCCCCACTTTGGTCTTGTCTGTTCAAAGGTCTTATGGTTTGTTCAGATGCAACTTTGCAAACCTAAACCGTGCTGCCATGTTTTTTTTTTAAAGATAGAAGAGGCTTTCTTCTGGCAAGCCCTCCAAACATGCCATACTGGTCCCATATTTTTCTAATTGTACTGTCATGACTCATGAACTTTATCATTTAACATGTTATAGATAAAATCTAGATGACCACCTGTTATATTATTTCTCAGTCTCTTTGCACAGACGTGGAAGGAGTAAGAAACACAGATTGTCACGGTTTGTCAAGGGAGGGGGCTGCTGGACTGCCCTCAGGTGCTGCTCAGAACTGGGACATACTTGACAGACACAGGAACAGAGAATGACTGGGAAACTTCTCTCGAAGCTACCTTGACTGCTTCAGAGGACTTGGTTGACTCAGGCGTGACTGCAGTGGGTTTAGCCGATTCAGAGGCAGGAGCCGGCACTGAACTGCTCTCAGAGGCTGGAGCCGGCACGGAGGACTCAATGGCAGATGCAGCAACTCGGGCCACCCTCTTCTGTCCCTTCGTTTCTCAGTGGGAGTCAGAAGATGATCGTGGACTTGACTCGAAGAGGGAAGGAGGGCAGGGTGGTCACTGCTGACATCCTCAGGAGGGTTAAGGATCTGCCAGTCTTTGCGGTGATGCACATAATTAGATTAGTCCCAGAAATTCAAAACATGCAGTTGTTCCATTTCCTATTGCGGTAAGGGGTCATCCAGAGTGAGGTTGAAGGCCTCCTTCAGGGCTGCATCACCATATTCGAGGCCCCTAGCCATGGTCCAGAAGAACTGGGCAAAGGAGCGTGGTTCCTGGTCCTGCTGACAAAGCGATGCCAGTGTCCGTTGGAGTGCCAATCTCCCTTCTGCAGTGGCAGGTGGAACGATTTTAATACTCATTCTGCTGGGGCCTTGAGTGGCTGGTTCGTTCTGTCACGGTTTGTCAAGGGAGGACCCAAACGCAGAATGAACAGGGGAAACGGAGTTTATTAACAAAATGGAAACACAAGAGGACGAGGCAGGAAGACAGTCCACACAATGGGCCAGAGCACACGTCAGGAGAACAGGCAGGTCGGGGATGGGGTAGTTCCTGACTCTGAGGCAAAAGGAGACTAGGTAGCACCTCAAGGAACCACAGGCTAGGCCTAGAAGATGGTAACACATGAAGCACAAAACCGCCTGACAGGTCAGAAGACTTCACATCGACCAGGGAGGACTCAGGAAGCAGGGCAGGAACCAACTCGACAAACACACAGACAAGGCAACAGGGGAGACAAGAGATAAACACCGATCAAAAGAAAGAACTTGCAAAACAAAGACTAGGGAGGATAAACAAGAAATAAAACAAAGG